ACACAAAGCGATCCTCTATAATTACAACTTATATTACTTTATATTATACTAATATTTTCCCTTATACGCAGATCCATTCAATATCCAAACAAAAGTGAGCATTCGCATTTGTTACTTATGACATCTCAAAGGAATTAATTATTTTCTTGTACTGCGTTATAAGCTACATACAATCGGAGCCCTTGTTAATACCACTTTTATTGTTCAGCTATAAACGACATGGCGCTTATTATTTTCCCGTCGTAAAACAACAAAATAATATTGTAACAATCATCTGAGCCCCTCTAATCTCGATGCGACGTATTCTCACAATAACACATTTTATTACGCATTGTAATTCAACTTTTTTACCACATGCGGTTATTTTATTGTCAAATGAAAACGAAACGTCTACACTAAAGTTATTATCCTGAGAGTATATATTCTAAATACAAAGTTGACTGCAACGGCGAAATTTGATTAATATAGTTTATGGAAGTTTAATATCGTTTACAACGTAGTTTAGGATTTCAAAGCGGTAGTAAAATCAGGGTATATTGAAATATTCATGTTCATTTCGCGTCTCTTAAGGGGATGCTTAGTATTATTAGTATAACTGCTTTGCTACAAAATATTTTATATATAAATTATTAGAGTTCTTGTAAAATTATAAAATACTAGCATTGCCCGCGGCTCCGCCCGCGTTCAGATGACCAAAAACCAAATTCTTAGGCTTTACATATTAGTATACTCTTCTAATGCAGTTTTTGTATTTTTTCTCAGAAATGAGATATTTTTCCGCGGTAAAAAGTATCCTATATGTTGACCCGGATAACCAGCTATCATCATACCAAATTTCATCAAAATCTGTCCTGTGGTTTTCTCGTGATGCGGTAACGGGCAGACAGACAGACAGACAGACAGACAGACAAAAATTCTAAAAACTATAGATTCGGACTCTGTATCGATAATAATTTCTATTTCTATAAAATATCCAAAAAAATATATAATGTACAGATTCGACTTAGTTACAATTTTATTATATGTATAGATTATGGACAAATTGTTTGCTTTTGAATATAATAAAATGTTAAACACATAAACTTACATAGATATGCTTATGTTATACATATATGTTAAAAGTTATACATATGTACGTCTTCTCACGAACCACCGGTAATTATCAAAAATTAAATACATATATAAATGGATGAACCATAGACCAAAAACCAAAGACTTAAATTATAGATAAAATAGAATACATACATACATACTAATATTATAAATGTAAAATTTTGCGTGGACGGATGGATGGATGTTTGTTACTCTTTCACGCAAGAACGGCTGAACGAATCAGGATGAAATTTAGCACAGAAATAGATTATAAACTAAAATAGCACATAGTTTACTTTTATCCCGGAAAATGGATGGTTCCCATGGGATAGGTTTGTTTTTTCTAGAACGAACCCGAAGCGAAGCCAGGATGAGTTGCTAGTAATGTTCATGTAACTATAGTGATGGTATAGACTCGGCTTAAAACTATAATAATGAAAAAAATTATTTTTGTACCTTATGTATAGACCCTAGAGAACCCTTTGTATTATAAATATAAATATAGTAGCCACAAGAAATACCTACATTTAAATGATATTGCATATCGCGTTTTAAAAGAGACTTTATTTCATTGATAACTTTAGATCTTATTTAGAATATCTCGTCGTATAGATGAAAAAAACGGGGGTCCAGCGGACGAACTTTTTAATTTGTAATTACAGGACAGCGTCCAAGCTTTCAGCATCATTAACTTTCCTCCTAAATGTCTACATTGTATGGATTCCGTACATACTTTTACAACATAGAAAAATTTATTGTCCGTATCCAAATTGCTTTAGATAGGTCGCTAGAGACAAAATGTGTTTTACATAATTAGTTAAACTCCAAATAAAGATAAAGAAAATAAAAAGGTAAATATAATGAAAATACGCAATATCCGTAGCGGTATAATTTATGTTTTAGAGAATTACGTTTACAGTAAGCTTTTTCTTTACCAAATCCGGTACAAATGCCTATATAAGCAATAAAACATTAGAGTTTTGCGGTTATAAGGCGGTAACCTCTAGCAATGTCACTGTAACGGTCATAGGGTAGGACAAAAACATTTTTATTAGTAATACTATAAATTTATTTCAAACATAAAAAATGCTGCTTTTTCTTTACCAAATCCGGTACAAATGCCTATATAAGCAATAAAACATTAGAGTTTTGCGGTTATAAGGCGGTAACCTCTAGCAATGTCACTGTAACGGTCATAGGGTAGGACAAAAACATTTTTATTAGTAATACTATAAATTTCTCTCAAACATAAAAAATGCTAGGGTACTGATCTAGTAAAAACCCATCTAATAAGACAACATTATAACGAACTGACGGATAGACTTTAAAACCGATTTTCGCGTCTTAATACGAACAAAAAAATAAACAGGTATTAGAATAAAAAGGTATCAAAAACTTCTTGAATGTTATATTATAACATAAATAATATTAAATTAACAGTGTCATTATTTAAAAAAGAATTTTAAAATAAAAATGTATACTCGTATGTATAACATTCGTTTCATCTGCAATATTTAATTCCAAATCTCAGCCTCGGATTTCAAAGTGCGTCGTTAGCAGATCTCTACTTGACAATTTTATTGCGAAGTGACGTATTATTGGGAGATGTTGAGTGCTCTTCGCACCTCCCTTACGCTAGTTATCACATTTTTCTGATGCGTGGCTTTTTTGCCCACACTTTATGCGTCTTTTTGTGTTTTTGCTTTGTAGGTTTCGTCCCATAGTAGATTTGGAGAGGACTGACATCTTTTAAAGATGAAAGGTTAAACTTTTTTAGAGGTGTTTGTTAAGTTACAATGTATATTCTTTATACATTAAAAAAAATTCTTCAACAGTTCGAATCTTCAAACAAAACTTGTCTTGACAACGGTTAGTTAAAACTTTTATTATAGTATTATAGTATTTTTGGTAGTTAGAAATGATTCGGAATGAAAATATCAGAGGTGCGAGACCCGGGATTTGAACCCGCTTCACTCGGTTACCCAAGCAAGCGCGTTACCACTGGGCTACCACTACCTGCAATTAAAACTAAGATTACATGTATATTTTGAGACTCCTATGTCATATGAAAGCTCTTTACTATTTTCTTTAACCCATATTACCTCACCCAATTTGTTGAATGAAAACCTTTTCCGAGTGTCCCCTTTGATTTTCCCTTTCGACTTTTTCAAGAGCTGTCCACGACATGGTTTTTCAATTTGAAAGATAGTGTACCACTCACTAATTCGTACTCTTAGTATCAGGAACAAACAGAATAATAAATGGTCGGGGCTCGAATTTTATAGAAACTGTAGCAAGTGATAGTGTTGAAACATTAAAGACATAGTTAAAAAGTATCTAGATTAGCATATAGATTATCACTGTTTGCTTTTAAGGTTGTGAGATCTATTTTAGTCAGTATATTACGTGAAAGGATGCTTTTTTATTAATTTACTCAGATTATTGAACCATATCCAATAACCTATCCTGTTTCGATAATATTTAAAAATAATATTACAAAAATGACAAAATTTTAATCTTTTAAAACAAAAAAATAACGAATAAATTTAAAATAATACAAAAAGAATATTCTAATAAAAATGCAAAACAACAACTAAATATGAAACTGTCGGAACTAAATAGATATTAAGAGACAAAAAGCCAAGGGTAAACGCTAGCTAGCTAGCTATGACATAAAGTATAAGATTAATATTAAAACTAAATTCATTTTAAATTTTCGCAAGATGTCTACGTTCACGAAGTTAGAAAACATACGTGAAAACTCTTAGCTGCTGAGGTTACAATAAGTTTTATGCAAATTAACTGACGCCCGACGTTTGCAAATTGCAATTTTATTCAAATAAACGTTCATATTTCACTATGATATAAGAATTATTTAAAAAAAATAATTAGTCACGTCTGAAGTTGACTTGTATAGATTTTATTTTTATATATATTAAATATTTATCATATTATTTCGTGTCATTGGTTGAAATGAATAAAACCTTCCAAGGCTTTATGTTGATATTTTACTGGAAAATTGTACTGGAGTGTGGAGTATTTAATCTCTCAGACTCAATAGTCGAATCTTTTCATTAAATATTTTTTGTAAAATCTTATTGAAAGTCATTATTATCGATACAGATACCGAATCTTTAGTTTTTAGAGTTTTTGTCTACCTATTTGTCTGTCTGTCTGCTATCTGTCTGTCTGCCGGGAATGCATCACGAGACAACTACTGAACAAATTTTGATGAAATTTTGTATGATGATAACTAGTTATCCTGGTTAACATATAGAATACTTTTTACTGCGGGAAAATATCTCATCCCTCTAATCTATACTAACCATTAAAACTTATCTAGGGACGAACCCAAGCGGAACTAGGAATCGCTAGTATAATATAATAGGTCCTTGATATGTTACTTATATTGTTAACTGCACATAAATAGTATAAGAGTTTTAAGATATTTAATAAATAAATAAATATAAATATGCTGGGACATTAACACACAACACCATCTAGTTCCATGGTAAGCTACGAGGCTTGTGTTATGGATACCAGATAGTTGATACATTACACATATATAACTTTAAATACATACATATTATAAATATAAACACCCATGACTGGAGTACAAACATTCGTGCTCAAACACACAAAAGATTAAAGAATGCCCTTAGCGAGACTCGAACCCGCGACCGCTGGCGCAGCAAATAGGGTCACTACAAACTGAGCCAAACTTCTTTTTGTGCGTTATAGTATCTTCGTTCTTTACGTTGAGGGAGTTAACGAAAAAAAATTTAAATGTTTTTCAAATTTTATTCAACATAATGTAGGACTCTAATTTCTTTTTTTCCTTTTTTTTATATACATATAAAGAAAATGGTTAATTTAAACCAAAAAATATTAACATTCAACAGTTACTATTCTCTAACTTTCTCCAAAATTTGGGCAGGAACCATGTGGCAAGAAAGCGTTTCTTCTAAGTCACCCAATATGGAGAGTTCTATCACGTAGTAGCCACAGAGCTCGTGTCGTAACACATCCTTTGCAAAACCCAGAGTCAGGACCATTTCTTCTACAGGATATACATTCTAAAAATATAATTATTTCTATCATGATTATGTGAATGATTTGTATAATTACTACAATTTATTATATAAACATTATTTATTTATATTATTTCTATACATATAATAAAATTGTAACTAAGTCGAATCTGTACATTAAATATTTTTTGGAAAATTTTATTGATATATTATTATTATCGATACAGACGCCGAATCTATAGTTTTTAGAATTTTTGTCTATCTGTCTGTCTGGGAACGCATCACGAGAAATCCACTAGATACATTTTGATGAAATTTGGTATGATGACAGCTGGTTATTCGGGTCAACATATAGAATACTTTTTACTGTGGGAAAATATCTCATCTTTGAGAAATCTATACTAAACATTAGAACGTAACTAGGGTCGAACTCGAGCATTTATTAATAAGTTATAGCATGTATGTATGTATATATTGCTTACATATATTTACCTCTGATATCGGGCATTTAGTCGTATTCAAACTCTTTATTAAAGGCCACCATGGTGTATCTTCATCACCCAAGCTGGCACAAAGGTTTCCTGAGACTGTATACATGAACTCTTTACCGAGATCTGTTAGCTTCCATACTTTTAAACATATCTGTAAGGTAAATCATTTCATATGACATTGTTTAATGAATTATTAAGCTACTCAATTAGTTTTGAAGTGAAACTTCTTTAGTATCTAAAAAGAGACAAACACATAAATATATAGGATTAAGCCGTCGAGAGAATGAGATAGAATACATAACCATATTGCCATGGTAACCGTCGTTATTGTCTGATAAATATATAATATTATAGTAGGGGAGCCCAAGAGGGGATTTTCTGTAGTTACTCGAGCGCGGCAGATTAACATAAAAGAGGTTACCTTGCACTCTATTGAGTACTTTCACCACAATATAAGTCTTCTATATAAAGGGGCGCGTCTATATCGACTATAAAGTTTATGATGATTTTTGCCTCTTAGGCTTGTGCAAATCGGCAGATTATTAAATTGGACACTTCTCAGGATGTGACTAGCCTACCACACCTTAATCTGACGGTTTCAAGTATTTCTACCTTATTAAAACATTTTTTAAATATTTTAATCGGCTTCCCTAGACGCGCCCCTTTATATAGAAGACTTATATTATGGTGAAAGTACTCAATAGAGTACAAGGTAACCTCTTATATGTTAATCTGCCGCGCTCGAGTAACTACAAAAAATCCCCTCTTGGGCTCCCCTACTATTATATTCTTTCCTAATATGCCTTATTTAATTATTGATTTGTTTTAATTTAATTGCGATATTTGTCAAAGAAGTTTTACTTCAGCCGCGCGTAAAGGTTACACGCAACCATTTATTTTTTTATTTCTTTCGACGATAGTTGTTTTCGTGAGAGATCGGCCCAGTAGTCGTAATTTGACCGTAATCATTATTTACCTATTTATATGAAAAAATATTTCTAAAATTGGTTTATTTATTACACTGAAGTTCTTCAATAGCTCCTAAATAAAAAACAGAAAATCGGTTGACAAGCAAAGGAAAAAAGTACTGAACTACATATTTTGTCTTTGACTATTTTGTATATAGATGTTAGATTTTATACTTTGCAATTATTTTCTAGAATATACATAATATATATAAAAGATTTTCATGAAATTCCATACTTAAAAATAGAGAGTCTGTGATGAAAACAATAAAAATCATATAAAAGTTAAGTTAAAAAGCAATATTATTATAAAATCTTTTAAAAATACATTGAACGATTTTGTATCTACCGTATAACCATCTTTAATCTCAGCTAATATGTCCAATTGCCCAGAAAGTCCAAGACCAGTCTCACCGTCTTCTTCACCTTTTATAAATCCTATTGTTAAATCATTACATTTGAACACGTTATTTTCAAAACCTTCACAATCAGTTATGTCATCAGTAAATTCCCCAACGTAGTAAACCTTAAATGATTTTTTGAACTTATATTTATGTAACCATTAGAAGCAAATTACTAAGAAAAGCTTAGAATGTTACTACATCTATACATATAATAAAATTGTAACTAAGCCGAATCTGTCTGTACATTAAATATTTTTTGGAAAATCTTAATGAAATAGACATTATTATCGATACAGAGGCAGATCTATAGTTTTTAGAATTTTTGTCTGTCTATCTGTCTGTTACCGCATCACAGAAAAACTACTGGAGGGATTTTGAAGAAATTTGGTACAGGAATTTGGAAATTGATTTTTTTGAAAATAATAAAAAAAAAGATCATCATCATCGGTCATGCTGTTTAGGAGGAAAAGAATTACGAACACACGGACACTACTATGCAATGTACATACATATAAAGATGAATACTATAAGTTAATTTTAATAGACTTTATTAATAAAGTACTTGCTCTATTAATATAAAAAAATGGTTGTTCTATTAAATACAGCATTTTTTTTGCTGAGCTTTTCTCAATTGACATGCACCAGGAACCAAATGTATGTACATTACAGGTAGATTATTATATATATATATATATATATATATATATATATATATACAATATGTTGAAAATAAACAAATAGCATGATTTTTATAAAAATATAAGATTATTCTATTAACAAGTTAGTTAATTTAAGCACCATCATTCCTGTATATTGGATTAGGTATCTACCATTTACTTACATCTTCAGAATCAGCCAAAATACACTTAAAAAACCTTATTAAAAATAAAAATTTTAAAAATACTTCTATATTGGTCATTGCTACTGTTAAATTAACTGCAAGCAAATGTAAATAGCGGTGGTGCAGAATATTTTTTATATCATGTGATAAAAATCATGTTTTGAGTAATATTGTATGGTATTGATAATATTGTTATAATGAATGTTAAGTTTGCGTGTTTATGTACAAGCGAGTTAACGAGCGTAAATAACATGCTACTGTACTTAAGCTTCTGTATCATCAAGGTCGTCGTGGTGCGGTTGAAGCGCAATAGTTCTACGTCTTGTGAACGGGTTCGATATCACAGATGACGTAAATACTTGTATGAAAACTGCCACAATTCATTGACTTTACTTATATTATACTACTAGCACTGCCCGCGGCTCAGCCCGTGTTTAGATGACCAAAAACCAAATTCTTAGGTTTTACATATTAGTATAATCTTATATTGCAATTTTTGTAATTTTTCTCAGAAATGAGATATTTTCCCAAAATAAAAAGTATCCTATATGTTGACCCAGATAACCAGTTATTACCATACCAAATTTCGTCAAAATCCCTCCAGTGGCTTTTCTGTGATGCGGTAACAGTCAGACAGACAGACAGACAAAAATTCTAAAAAATATAGATTTGGCCTCTGTATCGATAATAAAGTCGTCTATTTCAATAAGATTTTTCAAAAAATATTTAACGTACAGATTCGGCTAAGTTACAATTTTATTATATGTAGGTACAGATGTGACGTGTAAAACCATAGGTCATAAGTATAGATAAGTTTATCGTAAATATAAGATATTTTTTTTCAACTTGACACTATTTCCTCAGCCAAGACAAGGCTATAATGACATCAAGCAAGATATATTTACCCAGTGAAGTCTTAATTGGGCATGTTTATTGAATGACTAACTAACCCTGCATGCTCCTGGTCCGCGTTCTTTTACTTTACACCTTTCAATATTTCCGTGAATACCCTGCACCTTAAGGTCGACATGATATATCTAGCCTATCTTCCTCAATAAATTCATAATTCCATATCTAATTTTAAAAATTATACAAATAAACGTGCAGCACCATGGACAAATGCAGGCTGCCCAGGAGCGGAATGGTTGGCGCTCATTGTGGAAGGTTTTCATACAGCAGTAGATGCCGTAAGGCTGTTTGATGATACACGCCAAAACGTAGCAACATATTGATGTGATTTTTTCTATGGAAAAACCCTTCAATGGCGCTAGAGTGGCCGTCATAAGCTCCTTTTTACCTCAGTAAAATATTAAAAGGTATTAAAAATCGGCCGCGAAATGAACGTGGGAAACTAGAAGCTATAAAAATAAAAAGTTTGTCAAAAACTGGTTACTCCTTGTTTCAGCTTTGTATACTTCTTTCATTTTTAGGGTTCCGTAGAGAAGGGTGCCAATGAAACCCTATTACTAAGCCTCCGCTGTCCGTCCGTCCGTCGTCTGTCAAAGGGCCCTATCTGACAAACTGTGAAAATTTCAATTCTGTACGTATTACAATAGGTACAGAGAAGAAATTTTCACAGTGTGTGTATTTCTATTGCCGCTATAACAAAAAAATATGAAAAACCAAGATTGCGAATTTTAAAATGGTTCCATGCAAAATAAAAAAATCTATTATGGTACGGAAACCTTCGTGTGCGAGTCCAACTCGCACTTGACAGATTTTTTTGGTTTAAGATAATATATTAATATTAATAGTACATATATAAGACAATTAACGAGAAACGTTAAAAATATTTTATATTATGAACATTTTTTATATTTTTTTTAATACAGTAAAGAATATAATAAGCATAGAAATAAACATTGTATGTATGTATTAGATTAGTGCAACCAATACCCTATTTCCGTTCACGCGATATTTTTCGCATGAACCAAACAAATGGGGCGAGCGTAGAGAGTATATCATTTCCGATATAGTAGTTCTATGTAAATGGCGCCTACTTTTAAACTGCCGTAATTTTTAGATTCCGATTGGGATTCCCCTTTTCGTATTTGTTATCTCGTGAAATGAATTAATATATTCGCAGTTTTGATTTAGTGCTCATTTTTCATAACTTTGTTACATTCAATATTTTGCCGAAAGTTGTTTTTAGTTTATCGGAATAATAAGGCTTTGTTTTTCAAACATTTATTAGGAGACGAGGCGCCGTTATATTCTCATATTGTTGCACCCAAGGATTATGTCGTATAAAGATTTATTTATTATTAATATAATTGCTGTAATAACAGTGAATTTTTACAGCGGTTTTAGTCGCGTGTATTATTTTTTATATTATATAATAAATATTTATATAAATAACTACAACATATTTCATGTGTATTTCAATTATCATATTATGTAAGTACCTATATATATTATATATCTTGCACTATATCGCCCCGCCAACAATTTCTTCCACATCCACGAGTTGCTGGAAGAAAAATCTTTATGAAATGAGTTCCCTATTGTAAACTAAGTTTTTTGTAAATTAATGTCTGCATTTTGTTTCAAATATAACAAAGAATATATTATTAATTTCAGAGCGTAAATAGAATCAAAGTGTAAGCAAACTTCGATCTCCTAAAAGGACTTGAGGTAAATAAAATTTTGCATTTCCATACCCTTATAACGATAAGGGGTAGTATTTAATTATGCGCATGGAATTGTCAGCGCTCCACTTAATTTGATTGTCAGTGACACCTATGCAAATGATACGTTACGACTAATTGAATATCTCTGTATAGGGTTCCCAGATGACTTCCCGAAACGCCATTCAAATTTATTTTATCTTCTTGTTTAACATAAACGATATGTTATTCATAGAGAGAGAGTAAGCAATATATCCAGACTTAATATTATAAATGTAAAAGTGTGTTTGTTTGTTTGTTTGTCTGTCCTTCTTTCACGCCGAAACGGAATGACGGATTGGCGTGATTTTTCGCCTACAATATATGAAAATATGAATATCTAATAGGTAAATATGTATTTTACGTATCGAAATATATTAGATTTGCTTTGCATCGGCTGACACCGACTTCGAAAATATCTGATTAGGTATGTATTCTAAATGAAAGCCCTCGTTTAGTTATTTTTTATATTTTAATGTCTGGTAGTCGGTTTTTATTTATTTTTTTAAGTTTTTATAAATTCTGGCTAACCTATACTGTATGATTATAAAGAGGCAGAGTTTGTTTGTTTGATGAAGGATATAGAATAGGATTGATGAAGGCTATAGGCTATATAATATCATCCCGAAAAAATGTACGGTTCCCGTGGGATAGATTTGTTTTTGTCTAGGAACGAATGCGAAGCGAAGTGAGGGTAGTCGCTAATATTTTATAATAATAGCAACATTTTGAAGATATGTCGAGATGTAATATGTGTTCTGTTCTTATGGCATTATCTTGTAACAGAAATCACAGGTTTTTCTTTGTTTGTCGCCATACTTGATTCATAAGATTCATTAAATAAAGCCTGACATTGGATACCTTCACTTAATAACATTTTATTATATAGATAATAGATTGCAGCGAAAAGCAAACTGTAGTAGTGAGAAACAGTAGAATGTTTTCTTTGAATGGGCCGCAAGCGAAAATAAACTATTTGAAATTTAAATATTTCCTGTAAATTTTTACAAATTATTGTACTTTAGTTGACCAGCGGAAATTCGTATATACCAAATTATTTCATAAATCCCAGTTGAATTACATAGATAATAATAAGTGACATGATTTTTCACTCAAATATTTATTATATGTATATAAAGAATAATTCTATAAAATATATGAGCTAAGAAAAATTAAAAAAAAAATGTCTTATGTCGTTCTATATTTGAGTTATATTGTTATTATTATTTATTTCTAAGTTATTCTACTGTGTGTACTATATTAATATTTCCTTTGTAAGCTCATGTTACATTATTATTTCGCTGTGGCAACTTTCTGAATTTATATTTGTAGATGTACCAAAGAAGACAACAACTGTGCGTCCATAAAATAAATAAATAACCTACATTTGTGACACAATAAAAAGATTGTAGGTAAATAATAAAATTTAATATTAAATTTAAAATATCGTCAAGTAGATTTTTGTGTATGTAACAGAAAACGGATAATTTAAAACAATGATCAAATAAAACTTATCACACTTTATTACACTCTATAATTTAGTTAATTTCACAAATGTCACAAATATATTTTAAAAAGTCATAAAAATAGTGAACATTATTTTAAAATCTGGGATTTTGTTTTGATACAATTTTATGGCATGTGATACAACAGGTCTTCTTCATACTAAAAAAAAATCGGTCTATTAAGCATTAGTAGACGACATCGTATTTTGTATCCAGTCTACATAACTAGCCACATTAGTATATACTCCTGGCCAACCGTCTCTTCCGCATCCGTATCCGAAAGACACTATTGCCACAGTTTCCCATACGCCTGTAGGCGTTCTCCTCATCAATGGACCACCAGAGTCTCCCCTGCAAGCATCTTCTGCGAACGCTCCTCCAGCACAAATTTGTCTATCAGTCAGTTCGGCACCAAGACTCCTATATTTCGACAAACAATCGGACTTGCTAAATATTGGCATTCCTAACTTCAATTTAACTGGACTGCTTTTTCCTGTAACAGATAATTATAATATTTAATAAGTAATTGCACAATACGTTTTAGAACTATCTTTTTTATACTAAAAAAACTAAAAATGTTCTGACTAAGAGATTTCACGTGTCGTTGCCATACATTTTTGTAATACTAATGACATCGATTATAGAATATTATATTGTTTAATTTTTTTTTATTTTTCAATCGTCACTATGTCTAAGATCATCAACGCGAGTTCTACTATTAAAATGTATAAATAAATATATAAATATACTGGATGTTTATATTAAGCCATTATTTTTCATTTCATACTTTGCTTCATTTGCAAAAAAAACGTGCATAATTATAGAAAATCATACGGGAAACAACAATCGGTTTCATCATTCAAGGTTTAATGAGAAACAACAAACAGGGTATTACCCAGTCAGATATGGACGTTACTAATAAAGTTGTGATAATATAACTCGGCAAAGTTATATTTATTACTATTTTATGCTCGTAACTTTGCGCTCATCTTTTATTAAATATGAAGTTTTAGTTTTCTGTTTTGTTGATAGGTAAATGTTAACAATCTATATTAATAAGCAGTATCTGTAACTGTCTTACGTTACAATATTACGGCATATTATATATTAATATAAATTATTATCGACGCAATAATGACACAAGCCAAATAATTATTTTTTGTTTCTGTGGGATATGCTGAAATTTAATATTTATAGGATACCCTCTTATAGGATGAATTTTGAAAAATGCTAAGACACGTATTTATTTAATTTTATTGAAGAGTATATATACAAGGTTTCAAGTAATTCTGATAATATATATATATGTATATATTGGATTGTATTATAACGTGTTTTCCCGTGGGAATTAAGTAATCGCCCGCGATAAATAGTACTCTATGTCACTCTCCAGCCCTCCAACTATCTCCACACAAAAATCACACCAATCCGTTACTCCGTTTCGAAGTGAAAGAAGGACAGACAAACAAACAAACAAACAAACAAACAAACAAACAAACAAACAAGCAAACACACTTTCACATTTATAATATTAGTATGGATATCTCTTTATATTTTATATCTATAGTTTCCCGCCATTAAAAGTTTCTGTTAACTATCAATTATTATATGGTAGTAAAAACTTTTACTGCATTATAGTATACTATACAGTGTGTTCGATAGTGATGCCTAAGACGTACACATTAAACTAGAGGCCTGTTAAGGTTTCACAACAGATCATATAATACTATAATAGGTTTCATTCTATTGCTTTTTTGATTTGACACCTAGAAAATATTATTGTTACTAACAAAAACTTTACAGCTCTCTTCATATCTTTAGGGATTGAAATTTAAAATATTTACTTAGCGGTTAAATATATCATTATAATAATATAATCAATCAGCTTATTCACATATATAGCCCAAAATTCTAGTTGAAATGACAAGGAACCCTCGCCTTGGCAATAATTAATTTGTGAACGTAACGAGTTACCAAGAAATATATAGTTATGCACAAAATCAATAAGCTCGAAACTTACCGCTTAGGGTTTTTCCCCAGCCGGCCACAAATACGTCGCTTCCGACATCTAATCGCAGATTGTTGTCCACTAAGCAAATAGGTTGAACGTAATCTGTAATGAAAATAAGCAAGAGCAGATAAAATATAAGTACAATTAGGTTTTAAAGTTTGCTGATTTCTGTTCGTTTGACGACACGTTTGGCTCAGTTTTTAGTAACCCTACTTGCTGTGCCAGCGGTCGCGGGTTCAAGTCCCGCTGGGAGCATTCTTTTATGTGATGTGCACGAATGTTTGTACTCCAGTTATGGATGTTTATATTTATAATATATATGTGTATTTAAAGTTATATATTTGTAGTGTATGATGTATCAACTATCTGGTATCTATAACACAAGCCTCGTAGCTTACCATAGAACTAGATGATGCTGTTAATGTCAGTGTTAATGTCCCAACATATTTATTTATTTATTATTTCATTTTAAATTTTTTCCTAGTGTAAGTTACATGTTTCAACGACTCAAAGTCTCTACCCGCCTTTGATAGTCACATTAATGTAGTTTAATTGGCTCTTTATCTTTATCTTACGAATAAGTGAGTACAAGAAGACAATGGTTGTTTGGTTGCTGGTATAATTCAATGTGTATGAAAAACATAGAGCCAAACTCAGCACTTCCTTCTTTTTTATGTTGGTCAAAAATTAAGATTAAATATTTATAAACCTAAACAAAAAATATTAAGAAATAACTCTAAACAATTTAAACACGATACAAAATACTATGAAAATACGTGTTTTATTTTTGGAATATGTTCCAAACATTGTTTTAATAAAAAAGTTTTTAGTAAAGCCAATAACTGAATAAATGAAATCTTAATATATTGGTACTTACATGAGTAAGTTGCTCTTTTCGCAAGTCGTACCAGAGCGATATCATCTTTTCTGTTTACGTTCTTATCAGCGAAACCAGGATGAGGATACGCTGCTTGTACTCTGATTTCTTGTACGGGATCAGCACAAGTTCCAGACAGGCAGTCAACATCCGACTGAATATCATACTCGCCGAGTCGAGCAGTTGCTCTAAATTAAATAGTAAACAGTTTTATACGAATCATCAATCAAATCTCAAGCTGCATAAGGCTCTTGTATGATTAACATAAAAACTACTATTCATTTTAAAGATAAAAACGTAAAACGTGCCGTTTGTAGGAAAAAAACTTTTATTATATTAAAAAAGGCCAGCAAATAGACAGAGTTATTCATCTTTTTGCGAGCCATTGAATCTTGTTTGAGACTTAAAAGAAAACTTTTAATCACTCTTCATTTTTATAAAATTTGTAGCAATAAAATTAGATTCCTAATGCTTACAAGCATATAGACTCCAACGCCAAGTCACCAGTACCTGATCCATATCCTGATGGTTCCAATGCCTCCTGATGGTTTCCCTAACTTCAGAATCACGATTCACATTATAAATTTAAATTTAATATACATTTTTGCTGTGTCGTTAACAGTTACACGCCTAAATATACGCCGCAAGACTCTTATATCTTATTATAATAATTTAGTATTAGAGATTTAAATAAATTTGTACAAGGACACGTTATTAAAACCGGTGTAGCTAACAAAAGTCTATATAAATATCAAATACATTTTCCTTGTATTTAAATACTAGCTATAGCCTGCAAGTTAGTCATTATTTTATATATCAAAGTTGATAACAGTTTTTGGAAAATTATATTATATATGAAAAACTAACGAATTTTGGCAAGGCTTTTATATGTAAGTAAAAATAAGATATATTTTAAAATTAACAGTACTTACAATTTTCCAACTGCTTTTTCAATTTCCCCTACCACACAATGAGCAGCTGTTAAGACGTAGCGACGGTTCAACAGCACTCCCCCGCATTGGTATGTGAGGGTTTCAGTATTACCTAAACAGAAACAGTAAAATATTATATTTAATATCTTCTATAAATATATAATTTCATTTAAATATTATTTTAATGCCACTATTGTCAAGTTAGTATTACTTACGTGGTAAGTATCCTAATAACGCCATCCATGGAAACTCATCTAGGTCTGTGAATTGTCCACCATACAAGCGGTCACCATTTGTATCTTCACCACATTTGTCACGAGGTGCTGGATAGGAGTCTTCCTGGACCGAACGATCCTCACCAGCAGAGGGCCGAACTGGGCGTTCAGTTTGTAAATGCTAAAAAAATATAATCTTTATTTAATTTAATCACTAATCATAAAAACCAACTCAATATGAATATTAAAGAGAAAAGAATTTAATTCAGTTTATTTTGTTGGCTGTAAATGATGTAATTTTTTTGATAGGAACTATACTAACGTTATTCGTGATTAGTCTCCAGAAATAAAGGACATTGATTGCATTTGACCATGCATACATTTTAACAAAACCGGGGATATGAGAAAATTATATACGCATACATTTACAACTACTTTATTTGTAGTGTGCTAAGAACAGGTTGACGGTACCATCAATAAACAAAAGACCAAATCAAACCAACGATACAATAAAATAAATATCGACAGATCGTTAATACTGTTCCTTTAATGTTCCTAGTTACTTATTTATCTTAAAGTCAGTAATTGGATAGATTCTCAGAGGCATTACCATGTCTGACATTACAAAACTTAATAATATCAAGTACTTACCGTTGTTGGACCTGAGGTTTGCTGTTGAGGCATGGGACCACAACACACATTTGGTACGTAGCCCTCAAAACCACATTGGGACTGCCTTAGAAAAGTAATCACTTCATTTGGTAGCGGTCGTTGCTCAAATGCTGTGAGTAATTCTGGACATTTATAGATAGATACACACTGACTGCTCCTTCCAAGTGGTGTCTTACACCCTGAAACAGATGAAAAAAATCACACCTGTACTAAGTAACTATTTTAATTCAATTTTCTTATTAATGACTTCGAAGCGTGCTAGTTGAGCACAGATCACTTCGCCAATGTCACGAAGAATAGAGAAGACACGAGATTGGTCGGTATAATAAGATCATTATTAATTATTTTAAAACAAATTTATATCGCATCTACCCTTTGACAAAACAAATTAATACAAATATTCATCTTTAAGAGAGTTGAGTCAAATTTTGTGAACATATAAAGTGGTGAATGTTTCTTTAAATCATGTCTTTACATTTAACTATAGATACTGAGGCAATATAAAAAAATACAAATATAATTAATGTATAAAATAATAATGACAAAGTTCTAAATCAATGCTCATCAGAATTTTATAAAAGCGGTAACATAACAATTTTTTCTTTACCTAAAATCTCATCCTCAACGCATATCCAATTAACGAGCTAAGAATATTTAAACTACGTCATTTGTTAATTATAACAAATAAATTATTTTACCTTAAACTGGTTGTCAGAGATTACGAATTTTATTTCTTTTAATTCCTACATATTCACTATATGTGTGTATTACTTATATTATATACAATAATACGGTATCCGTATTGATATTATAAATGTGAAAGTTTGTGAGTATGGATGTTTGTTACTCTTTCACACCAAAACGGCTGAACGGATCTGGATAAAATTTGGCACAGAGATAGAGTCTAGTCTGGAATAGCACTTAGGCTTTTTCTCCCGGAAAAATGTAATTTAAATAGTAGTATCCGGGACAGTCTCGCTCATCGACCCTTCTGACTGCCTGAATGTATATAACATTATGTTCCAATTTTTTTAAACTATCTTATTTCCAGGATAAAAATAAATCGACTTCTATCTACTTATCAGCAAATCCTTTATTTACCAGTAAAAGTCTCGTTAAAATGAATTAAGTCATACTTTTATCTGAGAATGTTTTTCTAATTTCACATCAGGATCCCTTTTATTTGGTACTTATAAAAAGCAGTCTATATATATCCTTTTCTTTAATCGCTAGTGTATATCCTATTCAATTTTTTTAAAACCATTCTAAAGATTATATTATTGAGTACAATCATGTAGACGCTCATTTTTTTATGTACAATAATCATCTTTGTTTAAATAGCTATATGAGCTAGAGAATCAACATTTCGAATATACAGACAAACTCTTCAATTTGTATCATGCTCATTTATATGTATGTAATCATTTATATAATAGGTATGTTTAAAATCTTACAAAAAATATTTGCATTTTTGTCGCATTATGTTCTGTGTCGATGACTTTGACGTATTGGCTTGAACAAGGAAAATCATCAACCTGTTTGCTTTACAAAACCCGTTTATAGTATGTTTTGTTTATTGTCCAATATATAAAATATATATATATAAACTTTATAATGGCGCTGTATCCTAATGATGATGATGATTCTCCTAGCCGATTCCGGCCACGGCGGCCAATCTCAATGAGATTAGCCAACTGCGCAGGAGATATTATAGTGCTCAAGTGTACGCGCAGACACAAGTGCACTCTCTATTCCTATTACTCTCATACTCCGGTGGGACGACCACTCGACACGACCGGTGAGAGTTAAGGCGCAGGACCGACGGCTTTACGTGCTCTCCGAGGCACGGGGGTGAAACACCGCCAACTTCCCAACTCCGGGCTGTTACTGAGACTTACTATACAGGAAGACTCAATAACTAAACTTGGCCCGACCCGGGACTCGAACCCAGGACCTCCGGGTGTGCAGCCGTACATGCTAGCCACTACACCTATCCTATCCTAATAGTTGGTATATAAAAACTTAATGAAACTAACGAAACTCTATACTCAGTAAATATTAACTGCACAATAGCTGTTTGGCAGGTTTTTTTATGTATTTTAAGTTGCTGACTACGAACTAAACAGATACAGATGTCTATAATAAAATATCCTTGATCTTTATAGGAATGATTCATATTATATTATGTTATTAATATAAAAAATATGGTTTTCTTAATGGTTGTAAGTAGTGTTGGATTTACATTAATAATATTTATACGTAATTACAAATGGGTTTGTAGCATATCGTGTTATGATGCACGATCTTTAACCTGCGTATTAAAGATAACTTTAAAACGCAATTAAACTATCACATCCGCGTTGATCTTATTTATTAATCTAATATGTATGTATTGGAAAGTTAAATAATATATCTTACATATGATATTAATGAGTAATTCTTGTATATATGTATATAAACTTATTTTTAATAAATTTTGTATCTAGATAACGTTTTGCTGTTTAAGTTTATCGAAAATAATATAAAATTGTTTTTTTTTTCAGAAAAATCACCTACCTATATAAGGGGCCCTTTCTTGAAAAAAAAAGTCATTTTATATTGTTTAATAAAAGACATAAAAAACAGATAAATAATAGAGTTAAATTTTTAAAATTGAGTAAGATGAATTGTTAAAAAATACATTTGCTTACTTTGAGCTTGACCCATACACGCACTCGTCCATAGAACCACGAAACTTATTAAGATATTAAAATGCTTCATTGTAATGATTTTTAACACTATCAGTTTAACTAAAAGTAGTATCACAGATGTAACGTTGCTCAGTACATAGTAACACTGACGCTAAAAATTAGGTGATTTTAACGACGAGATCACTTGCGCGTCCGCCTGCCTTGCTATACTGGATCTTAAAGGTCAATCACAATATATTTATATGTAAATAATATAAGCGTACGAGTGAGTACTGTTCGCATATTCAATGATCAGTACATTAAATATTTTTTGGAAAATCTTATTGAAATAGACATTATTATTGATACAGTGGCCGAATCTATAGTATTTAGAATTTTTGACTGTCTGTCTGGGAACGCATCACGAGAAAACCACTTGACAAATTTTGATGAAATTTGTTATGATGACATCTGGTTATCCGGGTCAACGTATAGTATACATTTTACTACGGCAAAATACTACCTACATCTCTGAGAAGGGATGTATTATAGGGACGAACCCGATCAGAGCGAGAGTGAGTCGCTAGTTATAATATGCTATTTATATTATAACTAGCGACTCACTCTTGCCCCGTTCGGGTTCGTCCCTATAATATATACTTTAAAATAAAGCTTAATTCTCATTTTTAAATTCAATATTATAAAATAAGTAAAGTAGAAATTATACAAAGACATTAAACTTATATGTCAGATTATATATATACTCATCTCGTAAATCCCACTTATATTTAATTTTAAATATTAAATTTATTCATGTGCTTAACCGGATATAGAAAAAAAATATAATATTATGTTATATTAATTAAATTTTATCGGGAACAAATTATTACAAGATCTTAGCAACATCTAAACTGTTAAAATTAAACTAATTCTTTATAAAATTATAATATTAAAAAAATATTCTAAATTAATTTTCTTCATAATAAAATATATACATATTTATATTCTGACCATACTCTCGCACAGTCTACGTCGTCCGCGGACTTTCCAGTTTCTGATATTAAGTCTATTACAATTATAGCGAACATTTTCCTTACCAGCAACTACTCAGACTGTATTACAAAAGTTTTATATTTATATTAAAGAAGCGCCATTATTGAGTATTTTTATCTCTCGCATTCGCATATTATATTATATTCGTTCTGGGTTAGTTTTGATAACAAGGTTTGTCAATCTAGTTTTAATACAGCTAGACAGACCACAAATGGAACCTTGTATAGTGTCGCTAAAAATACCTAATGAAAATGAAGAAAAACAACGGATTGCGAATTGTTTATATATTTTTTCTGGGTGAAACGTATAATAAGTTACAATTATTTCAATAACTTGACTATCATTGAATTAGTTATAGCTCTATAAAAGTTATAAAATGCAAGCTAATCTCCCATTAATGTGGCATATGATAAAAATAACATTGTCGCGTAGTAGAGTGTGTAACGTCTTTACACCATGAATAATTCAAAATGGCGCGTCTGAAGCATGGCTATTAATATAACCTAAGATATCTGTCAACATATAAATGTCATAAGATTATAATTAACGACAAGATCAGTTAATCGTAAATTGCCGTAAGTTAAAGAGGAACAAAAGATTTTCCAAGAGTTAGGCCAAAACCCAAAAAGATTGTATTGTGTGTATTGTATTCAGCCCTTTTTAACGTCCCACTGCTTGGCACGGGTCTCCCTTCAATACGAGGGGGATCAGGCTATAGTCCACCACGCTAGCCAAGTGCGGGTGTGCGGAATTCACATGTCTTTCGAAAGCTTGCTAAGTTCTCTCAGACATGTAGATTTCCTTACGATGTTTTTCTTCACCGTAAGACAAGTGGTAATCATGTTGGAAATGATTCGCACATGAAAATATCAGAGGTGCGAGAATTTGAACCCGCTTCACTCGGTTACCCAAGCGAGCACGTCACCGCTGGGCTACCTGGGCCTTTTTAAACAACAACAAACTAAAATATTACTAACAATAAAAAACTGGATACTACTATCATCGGGAGATCCTGTAATTAATATAATAAAATCAAATAATAAAATTAAAAATATCAGACACTTAGATGTAGTAAGTTCTTACTATGTGGATCAAAATAACAGTATTTCAAATTAATACGTTTATTTGTAAATGTAGTAATAGTGTTGCTTAATATTTTGATTTTAAATAATAGTATACTAAATTAAAATTATCAATCTTAATTTTTATTAGGTGGTGTAGTGGCTAGCATGTACGGCTGCACTCCCGGAGGTCCTGGGTTCGAGTCCCGGGTCGGGCCAAGTTTCGTTATTGAATCTTTCTGTATAGTAAGTCACAGTAACAGCCCGAAGTTGGGAAGTTGGCGGTGTTTCACCCCCGTGCCTCGGAGAGGCTCTCACTGGTCGTGTCGAGTACTCATCCTACCGGAGTATGAGTGTGACAGGAACAGAGAGTACACTTATGTCTGCGCGTACACATGTGCACTATAATATCTCCTGCGCAGTTGGCTAGTCTCAATAAGATTGGCCGCTGTGGCCGGAATCAGTCAGGAGAACATCATCATCACTTTATATTATGGGAAACATCAAAACACTACAAAATACATAGCAGGTATATTTAAACATGTGCATTATCAAAATCGTTACGCGTTCGATATCGTAAATCAGCTCAACTCGCTAATCGACCCAGTGGCCAATCAGGCAATTCGTTTGAAAGTGGGACGCAATTTCCTTCGGAATTCGCTTAAGGATTAACCTCATTAACTTTCATGTCTCGTCTGCTAATTGTATTCGGCTCCCCAATTCCTGTCGTCATTTGATTATACTCTCGTTATGAAAGAAAATGGCACTGATAAATAGTACTAACTGCATTAGATAAATATGTTATCTCCAGCATCCTACTAATATTAAAAACGCGAAAGTTTGTAAGAATGTATGTACGGATGTATGTTTGTAACTCTTTCATGCCAGAACGGCTGAACGAATCTGGATGAAATTTGGAACAGAGATAGATTATAGTCTGGAATAAGACATAGGCTAGTTTTATCCCGGAAAAATAAACGGTTCCCTAGGGATAGATTTGTTAATAGTGAGGTGGTCTTAGATACAGATTCCAAAAGATAACCGAAATTACATTTGTTGTTGTTTACCTGTTCCAATTAGACTCACTGGGAGTCTGGTTGGTATGCAATATTGATCAAAAAATGAATGGTCTGCTTTAAACCAAGCGCTAACTTAGATATTTCATTTATGATAAAAAGTATGTAGAAGTAAAAAGGTAAAAAATGTCAAAGTATATCATAGCATTTACTTATCACGAAAAGTAAAGTTCGCTAGAGTCAAATATTTGTTTTGCTCAGCCAGTTTTTTGTTGTGGACTGGGCGGCAAATTTAAAATAATAAAAATTGTTTGTTTGTCTGTATGTTTGCTCACGTTTATCTATGAAACGGTAGATTTGTTTGAATAGGTTTTTCTCAGGCACATAGGCGTAAGTATAAAGGAGTCCGGCGACAGTGGTATATGTTACTGTTTGATTCAGGTCGAAATAGTTCAAATTCTTGAAGTGTCACAAAATTTTGGCAAAATATTATTTTCTTAAAAATATTTATGATCAGAATTACTTGAAACTTGGTATGAATGTTGTTTAATACAATGAATTAAATACGTATTTTAGCATTTTTCGGAATTCATCGAATGATGGGGTAAAATAGAGGATGAAAGTTTTTTTTGTAGTTTTAGCGCGAGCGAAGCAGCGGTAAAACTACAAAAAAAATGATAATGATTAAATAATAATCGCGGTACTGACTATGAGTGGCTTTTACATTTTCTTATTTGTTCAAGTTAAAAAAAAGTTATTAGAGTATTCTTATATCTATTCTTATACCTACATACATAAATGGTATCTATAAGTATTTAAAAAAGCACGTAAGTACAATACGTATATATATAATTTTAATAATTAACATCCAGTAGTGTTTTTGTACATGGAAAAACCAAAACACGATGCAATCATATTTAAAATATTAAATTAATTATGTATTGTCTCATCGCTTTAAACTCTATATTTACCTACTTATAATAAAGTAACAATTAATTATGAACCAGCAACTATTGTAAAGAAATAGATAGCAGTGTATTTACGATGAAGTCTATTTACTAAAAGCCTAGATTTAATTAAAAGTAGCGATTCTAGATAACTATAAAATAAAATTCGTCGCCATCAAAAGCAATGAATAATATCCATTATTTTGCTTTTTATATATATATATATATATATATATATATATATAATAAGGTCCATTCTAAATATTAGCCGGAAGAATTTTTGAAATATGATGTGTAGTTTCGGAGATAACCTCCCACGTCGAAACTTACACTCTACCTCTTTATAATTTTGATGAATGTTTATTATTTATTGTAAATATAATTCGGGCGATTCTCTAACAACTCTATTTTATGTAAGATTTATATAACAAATATATGTATTGTGTACACAATTCAATCATATATACGAGTATAAATCATAACTTTATCACCAGAAATCGCACTCTACATACTGATCTACCTACATACCTAATTGCCTATCTATACATATAATAAAATTGTAACTAAGTCGAATCTGTACATTAAATATTTTTTAGAAAATCTTATTTAAATATACTTTATTATCTTACAGAGGCCGAATCTATAGTTTTTAGAATTTTAGTCTGTCTGTCTGTCTTTCTGCCTGTCAATCTGTTACTACATCACGGGAAAACCACTTGATAGATTTTGATGAAATTTGGTATGGTGATAGCTGGTTATCCGGGTCAACATATAGGATATCTTTTACCGCGGGAAAATATCTCATTTCTTAAAAAATACAAAAACCGCAATGTAAGAGTATACTAATATGTAAAACATAAGAATTTGGTTTTGGTCATCTGAACGAGAGCGAAGCCGCGAGAAATGCTAGTTATAAACAAATTATATATTATAATTTAATTACATATAGTGAAACGCCTATATTCAACATTTTTTCCAAGTTGACTTCGATAGATATAATAAAACTTGCATTTT